GGCTGGCTTTGAACCGCGATCCTCAGATCTCAGCCTCCTGAGTAGCTAGGATTATAGGCGTGAGCCACCGGCGCCCGGCCAGAATTTTTTTTTTTTAATGAGGTACAGTTGCCATGTGAGCATGGATGAATCCCACAGGATACACTATGAAATATCAACTAAATGCACAAAAAGTAGTAATAAAGGAATAGAGAAATGCATGAGACATTCAAAAATAAACAGCAAAAGCAAAGCCTTCTTTTTCAGCAATTGATCATGTGTAACTACAGTCAGGTTATTTTAAATAAGGGCAGCGATTGAGATTTTTTTGTACCAGTTGTGGGTCTTGAGCTTTGGGCTTGGGCACTGTACACATTTTTTTCTTGGGACTAGTGCTCTACCACTTAAGTCACAGCTCCACTTCTGGCTTTTTGGTAATTAATTCAAGATTACAGTGTCATAGACTTTCCTGCTTGAGCTGGCTTTGAACCACAATCCTCAAATTTCAGCTAGGATTACAGGCATGATACATCAGCGCCTGGCTAACAGATATTTCTTTTTAAGGTCCCCTGGCTGGGTGATCCTAGCTAGTCAGAAGAGTTATATGTCCTTATCGTGAAAAAATATTTCTGCAGCTTGAGGACAATGGACATCTACCCACATGATAAAATGGCATACATACACTGAGCCAATGTTAACGTCTTGACTTTAATATTGTGCTATCATTATGTAACAAATAGGCACTGGAGAAAATTGGAGGAGACATGGGTCTTGCTATGAATCTTTGCAACTTCCTATGAATTTACATTTCAATATGAAAAAGTATAATGAATCTGTATGGATATATTCACATTAAAACACATAAATAAGCAGTTTCAGAAGACAAAAGGAAGGTTCTACAGGCTTTGAGAAAAATAAAAAAGAGCATATATATATATATATATATGTATATATATATATGTATGTATGTATGTGTGTGTGTGTGTATATACACAGAATATACCAGAATATGAACAATGCTTTTAAAACTGAAAGAAAATGACTTAAGAAAACGATTTTTAACCTGTAGTTCTATAATCAGCCAAAATATCACCAAGTGAGAGGGTGGAAAAAAGGTATTTTCAGACATATGAAAAATAAGAGGGCTGGGGGGAGTATCACATTGACTTTTTTTCAAGAAGTTACTGGAGGATGTGCTCCAACAAGACCAGAATAAACCAAGAGGAACACAAAGCCCAGTACACAAACCCAATCAGGACAAGATCAATCAGCTGCAGCACCAAACCTGTCAGTTCACAAGTGAGCACCTGGATGGCTGTTGTTTTAACAGAGGAGCCACTATTTTCTGAACAGAAGTTAGTAACCAAGAACCTGTGTTGTGGTGAGGAACCTCAAATTTTGTGGCTCCTAGCCTCAGGAGTTTAATCTCTTTCATGTCTTCCTGTGGAATCCTGAGTGTCAGAATCCTCCTCAGTGACCTTTCTCAGAGCCACTGGAAGGTTTAGAGACGAAACGCAGAAAGAGCGTGTCACCCAGGGGTTCTGCTTGGTCTTACCTCTAGATCACTCACGGGCACAGGCTGTGAGGGAAGGCAGGAGGCACACTTGATCTTTATGGTCAGGGGGTTTAGGTCCTGCTTTTGCTCCTCTGTCATGATAGGAACTTCTGTTTTTAAACTCAAAAAGCAATCTAAAATGTTGGCAGACTTCTCACTGCCGCGGCTGACGACAGTGTAACATCCTGGGAAGAAACGCAGTGTTAGCCCTGGCTCTGGACAGCCACAGATCAGAGGGCACGCACTTCATGCTGAGTGGCGATTTAAGACTTCCAGCTTAGACTGTACCACCCACCACAGTAGAGCAATTAGAACTTAAATTAATTCATATTCAATGCAGTTTACAGTGCAGTTTTAATCCAGACATTCACAGATGCTGACCCTCAGCTGGCACCTGTGTGTGCACACAGTTCATCTTTCCAGCCCCCTTGCTGAAGTCCCAGGCCCAGCACTGGCCAGTCCACTGTCCGGGAGGGCAGGCACCACTCCCATCAGCCATCACTCAGTTCTGCAAAGTCGTTTACACGCATCACCCTTAAAATAATACTCTGGAACTGGGTGCCAGTGGTTCATGCCTAGAACCCTAGCTACTGAGGAGGCTGAGATCTGAGGATCATGGTTATGAGCCAGCCAGGGTCAGACAAATCTAAAAGACTATCATACCTAACTAACCAAAACTGGAGGTGTGACTCAAGTGGCAGAGCACCAGCCAGGAGCACAGAAAGCTGTGCAATGAGATGGATTAGGCTTTGACCCAGGAGAGTCTCAGGAGGTTCCAGCTCAACGACCAGAATCCACACCGCTCCAGAGGGTGGCCAATCCTACCTGCCAGTTAATAGTCCAAATGAGCTTTGAAATTGTTTTCTCTAAAATGAGGCTTCTGCGCGCGCGCGCACACACACACACACACACTACCCTTCTTTAAGCAAAAAACCCCACATAATTTTACAAAAAATATTCACCTTTCATATAGTAAAAATCTTATTGATTACAAAAATGGGAAAAAAAACAGCCAATAAATTGTGATTAAATGTAAGCAAAAGAATCTAATCCTTACTTTCCATTGACCTGAATTGCCTTGGGTAAGTTATTAACCTCTCTGAGTATGACAATGAAAAGCTCTGCTCACAACTCCACCCCCACAGGGTATTGAGAGAACGGGAGTTTCTCATGAGAAGACATAATCTCACATAGGTGACAGGCACCTAATGCTCAGAAAAACGTTTCTCTTTGCTCATTACTTTTACTACAGACTTCCTGAAACCTTGTAATTAAGTGCACACTAGCAACATCTTATTTAGAACTTACTTATTTAGAACTTACATTCTCACGTAAATTTCTTTGGATTTTAGAATCAAACAGACCTGAGCTCAAAACCTCACTTAGCACTCATTAGCTGTGTGATCCTGGGCAATGTACTTAACCTCTTGGGGCCTCTGTTTCTTCCTCTGTCCTTTGGAGACAGTTCCCCCACATATCTGAAGGGACAGTGAGGGTGAAGGGAGGTGGGAACACAGCAGGGGTTTGGTGGCCAGGAGCATCCCATGGGAGAATATCTAGGCAGAACTGCAGGGAACGTGTTAGCTACCAGCAAGGAGCGGCATCACCGCCAGCTGGAGAGAGAAGGTGCTCTGCTCCCAGGCCTCCGGCAATTTAGCTTCTATGTCATCTTCTGTTCGAGATTTCTTCCCTTTCTGTGGGTATTTCTTCTTCCACTCTGATTCTTTTTCTTTCAAAATGAAAGAAAGGAAATAAATTTTAACAGAAGTTCATCAGGCTACAATCCATGAAGTTCTATAGACAACCAGAAGCCTAGACTGGCAGGGGCGGCTGCTTATCCCCAGCAACTACAAGTGGTGACCAAGTGCACAGAAGTGATTCACAGACCAAGTTCCAGCTACACGTGGACGTTTGGAGACTGTGTCCTCATCACAGAGACCACCCGCAAATGAGCAGGCAGGGCCAGGCTCACCCCGATGAGGTGCACTCTTCAAAGGCAGCTCAGCCACGGGCTGGCAGTTCAGGCTTTGAGTCCTATCCCCCAAAGAGAGTGTGTCAGGACTTACTCTGATCCTCAGCTACCTAATCTGTCAAATGGGAGCAGCAGCACTCACTTTCCCTAGTGTTGAGAAGATAAAATGTGTAAAGACATACAAACACTCAGTGCAGCACCAAGCTCAGCTCAAGAAGAAAAGATGTGAGCCATTGGTTCAATAACATACAAGCCAATGGAACAGACTAGAACACAGAGGAGAACTGAACAAATGTCAGAGGTGGCATGTCAAGCCAATGGGCATACATAGACTCACAAGAAAACCACAGGGGCTGTCCACTGAAGTTGATTCCACCTATGAAATGAATTCCAGACTAAAGAAAGAAAACAGGAAATCACAGACAAATGTCTAAAAAACTATACTGACATCTAAACAACGAGAATTTCTCAGGGCTGGGAAGGTGGCTCAGTGGTAGAGCGCTTGCCTTGCATGCCTAAGGCCCTGGGTTTGATTCCTCAGCACCACATAAGAAAAAAGAAAAAAGCCGGAAGTGGCGCTGTGACTCAAGTCATAGAGCACTAGCCTTGAGCTGAAGAGCTGAGGGACAGTGCCCAGGCCCAGAGTTCAGGCCTCACCACTGGCAAAAAAAAAAAAAAAAGGAGAATTTCTCAGACATTAGCCAAAGCACAAACCAAGGAGGAAGAGTTAAATAATGTGTTCAGAGCAAGAGATCCTATGTCAAGTGATAAGCCACAGACCCGCATCTGGAAGAGTTACACATAACGTGCCATTTAATGACCCCTAAGATGTAAAATTAAAGCATGAAGCTCAATAAGATAAGCTTTTCCATTTTTTAATTATAAAGGTGATGTGTAGCGGGGTTACAGTTACATAAGTCAGGTGAAGAGTACATTTCTTTCTGGACAATGTCATCCCTTTCCTTGCTCCCTTCCATTTTTCTCTCCAATCTCCACCCATAACTTGTATAGTGCATGTTCAACACAGCATCCAGTACCACTGCTGCATTTGTTCACCCTTTGTCCCTCCACTTCAATCCCTCCCTTGCCTTCCAAAGACAGATAAACGGACAAACAAGACAAAGGAAAGGGCATGCTCCTCCAAGGAAAAGTTAGAGTATCTCTAATATCTTCTTTAAGAAAGGAAAAAAGAGCTGTCTATAATCCTAACTATTCAAGAGGCTGAGATCTTAGAATCATGGTTGAAAGCCAGCTCTGGTAGGAAAGTTTGTGAGACTCCAATTAACCAGCAAAAAGCCTGGAAGTGGAGCTGTGGCTCAAGTGGTAGAGCATTAGCCTTGAGCATAATCACTGAGTAACAGTGCCTAGGCCCTAAGTTCAAACCTCACAATCAACAAAAGAAAAAGAAAAAAAAAGCAACTGGGGAAATATAGAAAAATTCAACACCTAAACTTTGTGTACATAGTTGTTTTATTTCTCTAGAAATTTTCCTTTCTTTATTCTAAAATAAAAAGTATTTGAAAAAAATCTCATTAAAATACTTAACACATATTTTGTGTGTGCCAGTCCTGGGACTTGAACTCAGGGCCTGGGGACTGTCCCTGAGCTTTTATGCTCACGGATACTTAGCTCAACCACTTTGCCACAGCTACACTTCTGGCTTTTTGGTAGTTAATTGGAGATCAAAATCTCACAGTTTCTTGCCTGAGCTGACTTTGAGCTGCAATCCTGAGATCTCAGCCTCTTAAGGAACTGGAATTACAGATGTGAGCCACCAGTGCCCAGCCTTAAAGCATTTTTTTTTATTTTTTTTATTTTTTTGTCGGTCATGGGGCTTGAACTCTGGGCTTGGGTGCTGTCCTTGTGTCCTTCAGCTCTACCACTTGAGCCACAGCGCCACTTCCGGTTTACTGGTGGTTTATTGGAGATAAGAGTCTCACAGGCTTTCCTGCCCGGGCTGGCTTTGAACCGGGAGCCTCAGATCTCAGCCTCCTGAGAAGATAGCGTGAGCCACTGGCTTAAAGCACATTTTTAAAGGAATGGTGTTGTTTAATCTGGAAAGAAGAGACTCGAAGGAGTTGAGAGGTGCTCTGATGTGAAAGCAGACTTGTCTTCAAAGACCTTAAACGCGGGAATCCAGCAGACAGCCAACTCACAGCCACTTCCCTATGTGAAGGCCCATTTCAAAGCATGCCTGGTACCCACATGGCTCTACAAGTTTCCACCTCCTATTAGAGACCACTACTGAAAAACTGGTGAGGGGAATCTAGGCCAAGATCAAGGAGGACTCTTGTTGCCCCAGCGTCTGTCACTGTAGGAAAGGCCCCACCTGTGAGGTGCCCTTCCTGCCACCAAGGAAGCAAGACATTTCTTGTCATTCTGGGAGTCTTTCCCTAACTCCAACCAACCACGTACCTGCCCCTGCCACACCAGCTATCACATACAGTGGCAACTGTTCACCTGAAACTTTCCAGTAGACTTCAAAGACTTTCATGTCCATAGGTATAACATGATAGATCAGACACCCAGCAGCACTGGTGGAGTAGAGCTGGTAGAGGAATGTGTATATTATAGTAGCTACCATTTCAGTCAGATGCCAAAAAATCATATTGGAGTATACTGAATTTTAATAGGTTTTCTTTTTTTTTGGGGGGGGGTCCAGTCGAGGGGCCTGAACTCTGGGCCTGGGCGCTGTCCCTCAGCTCTTCAACTCAAGGCTAGCACTCTACCACTTGAGCCACAGCGCCACTTCCAACTTTTTTCTTTTTACGTAGGTGGTGCTGAAGAATCGAACCCAGGGCCTCATGCATGCAAGGCAAGCGCTCTACCACTGAGCCACCTTCCCAGCCCCGAATTTTAATAGATTTTTCCAAATTTATACTATGAAATTTCAAGGAGTCACATAGTAAGAACCTGCTAGAAGAAGAAAAAAAGGGGAAGAGGAGGAAAAGAAGAAAGAAATGGGGGAGGGGGGAAGAAAATTCAAAATCCCAACCTGGGAACTAGAGGTATAGCTCAAGTGGGAGAGCACCAGCCTTGAGTAGCAAAAGCTGAGCAAGAGTGTGAATCCCTGAGTTCAAGGCCACTCATAGCACGCATGCACACACACACACACACCTCATGCTAACTTACTTTGAGACTTATGTTTTTCTGATACGTTTGTTAAGCTACTTAATGATGTTCTCTCAATTAATTCCTTAATATCCAACATGGCAGTTCCTGCCAAAGAAGCTGTTGTTCTTGAAGTACTTCGTCTAGAAAATCCAGAGAGAAAAGTTAAGGAACACAAAATGTGCAGGGGCCAGATGTACGAATCTATTTTCTACACAAAATTACAGCAGATTTTTTTAAATGTGATCATGGTCCTCTTACCCAGTGATTCTCAAGTTAAATATACAGAGGAACATCTGGGACTCCTGACAAATAAAATGTGTACTTCACGAACCTGAGGAAGCCTGAAATTCCCCAGATGATGACAAAGCAGTCTGCAGACCACATGACACCTTCAAGGGACAAACGAATAGGAAATTTCACGGAAAATAACATGCTGTGTTTTTTTTTAATGTATCAAAAAGTATAAGAGATCTAGAAATTCACTTACTGGAATTATCCATGACATGTATAGGAAAAAATTAACTGTATTAATGGAACTAAAAGGAAGGTCTAATTAAGTGTAAGGATTTGTCATTATCATGGACAGAGAAACCTGACAACAAAATGAATGTCAAGCCAGGCACAGGTGGCTCATGACTATAATTCTAGCTACTTAGGAAGCTGAGATCTGAGGATTGTGGTTCAAAGTCAGCCCAGGCAGGAAAGTCTGTGAAACTCTTTTTTTTTTTTTTTTGGTCAGTCGTGGGGCTTGAACTCTGGGCCTCAGCACTGTCCCTCAGCTCTTCAGCTCAAGGCAAGCGCTCTACAACTTGAGCCACAGCGCCACTTCCAGTTTTCTAGTGGTTTGATAAGAGTCTCATGGACTTTCCTGCCCGGGCTGGCTTTGAACTGAGATCCTCAGATCTCAGCCTCCTGAGTAGCTAGGATTACAGGCATGAGCCTGGGGCGCCCGGCTGTGAAACTCTTATCTTCAATAAACCACCAGAAAACCATAAGTGATACTTTGGCTCAAGTGGTAGAGCACTTGCCTTAAGCTGAAGAGCTCAGGGACAGCACCCAGGCCCAGAGTTTAAGCCCCATGACTGACAAAAAAAAATTTTAATGTCAATTCTGCCCAAATTAACCTATACATTCAATGCAAAAACCATTTTTGTGAGAGGTTACATCAAGAAGGATGTAAAATATCTCCATTTTGGCTCTGTGAATGAGAACAATCTGTTGTCAAGGAGGAAACTAGATTCTAAAGAAAGAAAGAGGAAGGGAGCAAGAAACCACAAGGGAGGTGAAGGGACCCAGAAAGCTACAAAGCAACTACCCCAGTGGGAGAAAAGCAACAAGGAGAGCTGAGCCAGTATCTGGCTCCCTGATTGTGAGAAGAGAAATGGAGGACTGAAACAGAAGGCAAAATTAGATGGTCTGCCAACAGACTGTGAACTCTAGCTAGCCCTGGTTCGAGTACTGGGATTTGTGAGTCAGCAACTATCTGATCTAAGCCCTAGCCTTGGTAAAGAAAGGCATTCTGTGTCTCCTAGTTCCCCAGAGAACAAAGAGAAGTCACCATCTTGAGAGAAAAACTGTGGGGCTCTTCTGAGCCCCCTGGAGACTCTGCTCCTAGGCAAACTCAGCTCAATGATACAGTACAATGTGCCATAAGATTCAGGTGTAAGTCTGTCATAAGATGTAGTTGAGGAGAGGAGTGTCTGGCAGGAAGGGACAGGCTTGGGAAGCCTGGCTAGGTTAGTTGTTAAAGGGGGCTGGGTCTGGTAACTATTGTTTTTTTTTTTTTTTGTCAGTCGTGGGACTTGAACTCTGGGCCTGGGCGCTGTCCCTCAGCTCTTCAGCTCAAGGCGAGCACTCTACCACTTGAGCTACAGCGCCACTTCTGGTTTTTCTGGTGGTTTATTGGAGATAGGAGTCTCACGGTCTCTCCTGCCTGGGCTGGCTTTGAACCGCGATCCTCAGATCTCAGCCTCCTGAGTAGCTAGGATTACAGGCGTGAGCCACCAGCGCCCGGCTTGGTAACTATTGTTTTTTTTTTTTTTTGGGTCTAGTCGTGGGGCCTGAACTCTGGGCCTGGGCGCTGTCCCTCAGCTCTTCAGCTCAAGGCGAGCACTCTACCACTTGAGCTACAGCGCCACTTCTGGTTTTTCTGGTGGTTTATTGGAGATAGGAGTCTCACGGTCTCTCCTGCCTGGGCTGGCTTTGAACCGCGATCCTCAGATCTCAGCCTCCTGAGTAGCTAGGATTACAGGCGTGAGCCACCAGCGCCCGGCTTGGTAACTATTGTTTTTACCCATAAAGAACTGAAATGGAAACTCATCTGGCTGGAGGCCACCATTACAGGCAGCTAAGACCCCAAAACACAGGTGGGCCAGAGGTTAGCAATGAAAAACCTAGGAACCTTCTGGCCACAGAGCTGAGGCACCCCACAGCTACACAGACAGACATACACTCCACCCAGGAGAGATCCACACAGCCTGAGGTCAGGGCATCATGGTCCTCTGGGAAGTACCACTGTGCAGAGCCTGCTCCTTGCTTGTACACTGACTCTGAGGAAGACAGAGCCCTCACACCCAAATCTAAAGAAAATGATTTCCCTGCAGGGAGGTACACACACACACACACACACACACACACACACACACACAAATGATAGAAAATTCATACTTTTATATAAGACTTTGTTACTCTTTTGATTAAATTTTGTATTTGTTTAACTATATGGATTTCTTCTTGAATAGCTGAGATAGGCCATTTACTTTTTAGTTTTTACTTTTTAGTGTAGGGCATTTACCTGCTGCCATTTTTGTTGTTGTTGTTGTGGGGCTTGAACTCTGGGCCTGGGCACTGTCTCTTAGCACTTCAGCTCAAGGCTAGCGCTCTACCACTTGAGCCACAGCAACACTTCTGGCTTTTTCTGCTTATGTGGTGCTGAGGAATTGAACCCAGGGCCTCATGTATACAAGGCAAGCACTCTACCACTGAGCCACCTTCCCAGACCCAAGTGCTTTTTATCTTGAAATTCAACAAACAGAAAGAATAAGCATAGAATGATGTATCTATGTAGCCATGTCACTGTGAATAACAATTTCTTGCGTATTTAACCATTTTAATTCCTGTTTGATATTTACTTCTCTGTTGCTACACAAAACCGATCAAAGGAAAGTAAGCTTGTTTTACAAGCTGTATGCCTAAAAGCAGGTACTACTATTTATTTTACTGGCTTTTTTAAGTGATTCACTTTTGTAAGAATCAGATGGCATTATGTTTGTTGTACAATGCCATATTGGTATATGACATAACAGGAAACAGTATTATATGACATATTTATAAATACTGTAAAGAAAATATTGTGTTTCATGCACTTAGAAACTGGTTGTTTAAATTCCCCCAACTGGGTTGACCTTTGCTTTGCAGACACCTGTCCATACATTATGGTGAGTCTTACCAGCACAGACTAAATGTAATGTGGAAGTCTATTTCTAAATTCTGTTCCTTTGGAAGCAATTGCCAGGTCATCATAATTCTGACTTTCCTCCAGTAATGTTAACTTTTAAAATTAATTTTCAGTAAAGAAAATTTTAACTTTAAAAAAAAAAAGCGGTACAGCCGGCACCAGTGGCTCATGCCTGTAATCCTAGCTACCAGAGAGCCTGAGATCTGAGGATTGTGGTTTAAAGCCAGCCCCACCAGAAAACCGGAAGTGGCACTGTGGCTCAAGTGGTGGAACACTAGCCTTGAGCTGAAGAGCTGAGGGACAGCGCCCAGGCCCTGAGTTCAAGCCCTACAAGAAGAAAAAAGTCCTGTGCATGTTACCTATTGGTAACTTATGAAAATATATGATAACTATACGGAACATTAAATGTCATTATCAAACTGCTAAAATGAAATTCTAATGTTTTCCATTTACTGGGACAGGCCATCTCATGCACTGAACTTCCTTCATGGGAAATACATCTATTGTTAAGCATTTCTGCTGTGTTGACCATTTTAAATTGACATGTGATATGGCCTTTTTTTTCCGGTCAGTCATGGGGCCTGAACTCTGGGCCTGGGCGCTGTCCCTCAGCTCTTCAGCTCAAGGCGAGCGCTCTACCACTTGAGCCACAGCACCACTTC